TTATGCTTAATCCTTTGCCTTGTGGTTTAAAAGCAACAGTGAAAGAAAACCAAGAACAAATACCAAGCAAGGAGCAGCTGAGTGGATAACCCACAGATAATCATGGGGTCACCCTGAGCCATAGCTGGGATCCAAACAATTTAACCTACCACAAACTCTTCCTACCAGAGAGCATTAGTGTGGCACTGACCAGATGTGTTTGCCATGGCGTTTGGTGGCATCTCTCTAGAGCAGCACCATACTACCTATAAGCACAAATAATCCCAATGTGCAGCAGACAAGGGCTGCTGTATGGAGTGATGGACAGCAGCAAGCAGTTTGTGCTGCCTCACCTTGCTGTACCCTAAGCACCCAGCACCTGGTGGCACCCACCACGTCTCTGTGCCTTGCCTGTTACGGGGGAAGACAGGAAAATAAAGCCCTCCCCTGTGCTGGAAAGGCAAAGCACTAATGGCAGGTTTTTTGCACTAGTTCGCAGAGATGACTGCTGCTATGAATACATCAAACTTGACCTGGCCTCCTTAGTAGGATAAAGATGATGTAACAGTCATCACACCACTTCATTTTTGTTTGTTTTTTCCTCTGTGTCCCCTCCAAGAGAAAGAAGGAAGGGAGCTGGGTCTCTATAGTTTGGAGAAGAGGAGATTGAGGGGTGACCTTATTAGTGTATATAAATATATAAAGGGGGACTGTCACGAGGATGGAGCCAGGCTCTTCTCAGTGCAAACAATGATAGGACAAGGGGCAATGGGTACAAACTGGAACACAAGAGGTTCCACTTAAACTTGAGAAGAAACTTCTCAGTGAGGGTGACAGAACACTGGAACAGGCTGCCCAGGGAGGTTGTGGAATCTCCTTCTCTGGAGACATTCAAAACCCACCTGGATACGTTCCTGTGTAACCTTATCTAGGTGTTCCTGCTCCGGCAGGGGGATTGGACTAGATGATCTTTTGAGGTCCCTTCCAATCTCTAACATACTGTGATACTGTGAAGGAGAACCAGGTACACCCATCTAGGCCCTACTGGGGTGCTCTGCTCATCTCGCAGGGCAGGCAGCAAAATAAATACTCCAAGGGACAGCCTTACCTTTTCTAAACAACATATCCCAGGAAAGATCCATGCACTGCTCATACCTGTTTGGGCATGGGAAGCCTGCAGGTTTCTTTTCCTGATAGAAAACTGCTGCTGTTGTGCTGTAGATGCTTGGGTACCTTAGTTTTTTAAAAGAACAACCTTACAGCAATGAATGCAGCAACAAAATTTGGCATTCTCATTTTTATATTAAATTTTTTTTATTGAGATGATGTAATTACAGGCATTTTAAAAATTATTTGCAACTCACTGGCCCTGAGAATAGGCTTTTTTGTTTTGTTTTTTTTTTTTTTCTTGCTTTGTTACATTCATTTGATTCAGTCCCTCAGCCCCCACACCTTAAGAAAACCAAAAAAGCCATCATCAATGAAAACAGACTAGGAGTTTTATTAAAAAAAGAAGACCTCAAACTGCTGCGTTCTGGATTTGCACATGGGTGCAGCCTGACAAGGAGATGTGAAGGATGCATGCGTGGAGTCTGAAGCCTGAGGATGGTGGCAGCAACTTAGTGTTCAGAGGCAGGGCTCCAGTAGTGTTCTTTGGATGCAGAGGCAACAGGTTTCAAACTAAAGTCATAGAGTCATGGAATCATACAATCGTAGAACCATAGAATACTTAGGGTTGGAAAGGACCTTAAGATCAACTAATTCCAACCCCCCTGCCATCAAGAGCATGTCCTGCTGTGTGGGGAACTGCAGCATGTCCTGCCTGACTGGCTGGTGGCTTGTTCAGACTTGCAGCAAGATGATGGCAATGAAGGTCCCACTTAACTGCACACTGTGAAGATCCTTAGCTGGGTGCTGAGGTTGGCAGGGACCTCTGGAGGTCATCTGGTCCACCCCCCTGCTCAAGCAGGGCCAGTTGCCCAGGACCATTCCTGGAAGGCTTTTGCATGTCCCCAAGTATGAGAATCTCCTTTCCCCACCTGTTTTGGTGGCAAAGGCAGAAAATTTGGTTGCTTTGCTGCTGGCAAATTCTACACTGAGATACCAGACACTGGGGAGGGAAGAGGGGTGTCAGGGTTGGTGGCAAGACAGTGTTACCATTGCTAGCCCAGATAGTCAGGTGCTCCTGTAGCTTAGTACATCAATTCTGTGTTTGCACTCCACGTATCTGCCACTGGGATGTGAGGTAGATGGGAATCTGTCTACTACAGCTGCTCTATCCTGGTGTTATTGCCTTGTTTTAGTCATAGCTGATAAACTTGCTTCCAAGGCCCCAGAGCAGTTGAACTCCCAGGTCCCAGGTCCCAGGCCCCTGCGGTTCTGAGCACTCGGTGCAGGCCTGGCAGGAGGCAGGTGACAGCACCAGCCAGAAGATCCTCTATGGAATCTGCCTGCTCCAAGTTCGAAGGTTATTTTCATTCCAACAAGCGTCAGCCTTGAGAGAACTCTCTGGTTGCGATGGAGAAGAAGTTAAGATGTCCTTTACGTGTGAACTCAAAGAGTTTCAACAACCACCACTTTTTTCTCCCCTTATACTCTGCAGGTGACAGTGACTGCATTTTTTGGTAAAGGTGAGTATTTCTTCTACAAAATTCCTCCTAGAAAATTTCCCTATGGTACAACATATGTGATTTCAGGATTCCTTGCTTTTTTCCTGTCTTACCCAGTGCTGAGGATAAACTTTGATAGCATACACAGTGAGCAGATGGGCTTATACTGGTGGATTGCCCCTCATTGTATTTTGCAGTGTCACTAGCAGTTACAAAAACCTGTGGCTCATGAGAGCACTTTATCTAGACGGTCTTGTCACCTTTTCTAGTTCTCACCATCTTAGCAGTGGCTGCAGCAGCCACAATAAATTAATGCAGTTACGCAGCTGTCAAGACCACAGCAGTAAAGGGTATTTCCTTGCACTGACACTCCCAATCACACTTCATCTGTCATTCATATTCACCTCTTCACCACACCTTCTCCACCCCAGCTCCCAGGACATGGCCACAACTTGGGTGCCCTTGAGCCTGTGGCAGAGTAACTCCTTGGTTTCAAGGGGCCGTTAGTTTCGGATCTGTGACCGCTGAAGTCCCTCAGTGCTTCCCAATCTCACACCTCACGAGCTCCAAGGACTTCAGAGTCACAACAGAGACAGGTATCAGGTCCACCCATGTTTCTGATACACATTCCCGCATCTTTTCTTGAGGCAGGAAAAGTCAAGTACATGGTGTACCGGGACTGGGAACATACTGACTGCGATCTAAGAGAAAAGAAGTGGCTGGGAAAGGCTGATGGAGAGATGTGCACCCTGTCCTTCCTCATCAGATACTCACTCTGAGAAATCTCTCCTCATATGATGCCTATCTACATCCTTAACAAAGCTGTTCCTTGTATGACCTGTGACTCAGTAGTAAGTCTCCTATGAGACTGGGTTATCTGTATTTAAACACTGGGGACACTACTCATTGCTCAGTGCCGTTTTTTCCTGGATAAACCCTCTTGTTAAATACGTGGTGAGATCAAATGTCATGTTGGTTTAATAGCTGATAAAAGCTCTGTTATGGGAATGTACATTGTTTTTTGGTTTAGAATGGATTAGATTAGCCCATTGATTTTTTTTTCCACGTCTAGTATGTGCGTTCCCATAAAAGAAGCCTTCTGGTTTTAATGAACTGGTATGGATGTGCTTTTTTCCAGACACCATGTGATTCCTACAGTTTCTCTACACATCTTCTCTCTTTGCAAGCATCACTTCTGCTGCTACATCTTCCTTCCATTAAAAGAACCACTGACAACAGATCGCCAGACAACAGACTTTCCTGTCACGGAGATTCAAGCAATGTGAAATGAGAAAACTCAGTAGTTTCTCTGGTATTGGGCATCAAGGACTGCTGAGCTTCCTGTGCAGCAATCTAAATCAGGGGTGTAAAAACTGGGGCACCCTGCAACCTGAACAAAACCAAAACCCAAGAAAGCAACATGGCTGTAGGGTTCCTTTTCACCTTGGCTTTTAAATCATGTCGGAAATGGGCAAGCTGAGACAAGCTCCCTTGATGGCAGCGCTGTGGGGTGAGGGAAGGTAGTGGGATGCATGAAAGAAAACAAATCCCAAAACAAAACCCAGATCAGTCACAAGATAGAAGTACAGCTATTTGGTCTCTAGTTGTCTACCATCAGTTTTCAGACTGGTGTATCACCTACCTCTCCAGCAGCACAAAATGACCCTGAAGAGGTTTCTGAGTAACACGAACCATGTTATGGGTCCCTTTGGTTTCTCCCTACCATGTAAGGAACAGTCCTTCACCTTTCACCCCCAGATTGGTAGCAGGTATGAGAAACACCCCTCCCTTTTTTAACTACAGATGCTCCAGCTTTTTTTTATAGAAACGGTGAGCTGAATTTCTGCATTGTGGATATATTGTCAATATTGCAGGGGTTACATATATATACATATATATATATATATGAAATTCTTATATATACACATATATATATACATATGTATTTGTCCCTGCCCTCCCTCCCCCCCGCTCCATTCTGTCACTTCTTTGCTAGAGGGAAGGAAAATGTCAACATCAGTCTATTGCAGAGGTTTGTCACATTTATTTCTCTCCTCCCCGGAGCACTTAGGTGATTGGTTTTGGTCCGTATTCCAGCAGTTAATAGCCACTCGCAAAGCTCATGAGCCCAAGCTATGCTGGGATGGTATCGCAGCCTACACATGAAGGGTGACTCCTCTTCATTGGACAGGTATGTATGGTAAATTCTTTTGGTAGCTTCAACACATTTCCCAGTGGCAGCACATGTAAATTGATCCAAGCAAACTGGAACCCTTGAGCAAATCCCTTCTTGTGTTGCTATTGTTTTATGCGGTATTATGTCATGGGACTTGCACAGAAAATAAGAGCACTCTATTTCCATAGGAAAGCCTTCTAAAAAACAAAAAGCATAATCTGACGTCGTGTCCTATGTGAGATAAGGAAAGTCAAACTGCATGTTTATTAGGGAAAAAAACAACAAAAAAAACCCCAAAACTGAAACAAACCAAGAAGAAAGAAAGAACTCAAGGAGAGACGTTGTAGGAACAGTGAAGTAGTGCGTAAGTCCAGGCTTTCTCCCCTTTTCTGCCAGCACCACTTCAGCCTGCTAGTTTGTTTTGTTAAGGTGCTTCAGGTCCTGCATGATCTTCAAGCTAAGCGGCGACCCCGAGTACTGCTTCTGTGTTGCTGCTTCGCCTCCCAAACAGTGCCAGCCATCCGGGCAGATGTTTCTCCCACGGACCCACAGAGGCGGTGCACCAGTTCCCTTCAGCACTCATCTTCTTGGTATATTTGTTCATCCAGTTCCTGGGATTCAAGGTGCTCAAGGCGGTCTGTTCGACCACTCATAATCTCATCTGGGGTCTTCATGAACCTGCAAAACAGAGAAATAGTTGATGAACATCTACATCTCTATAGCTCCCAAAATAATCACAGAATCACAGAATCACAGAATGGTTTCTGTTGGAAAGAACATTAAAGCTCCTCCAGCTCCAACCCCTTGCCATGGGCAGGAACACCTCACACTAGACCAGGTTGCTCAAAGCCGCGTCCAGCTTGGCCTTGAACACTGCCAGGGATGGGGCAGTCACAGCTTCTCTGAGCAACCTGGCCCAGTGCCTCACCACCCTCACAGGGAAGGATTTCTTCCTTATATCTAACCTAATTCTCCCCTGTTTAAGTTAGAACTCATTGCCCCTTGTCCTACCAATACAGTCTCTGATGAACAGTCCTGAGTATTTCCCAGCTTCTCCCCAGCCCACTGGTGTCTTCCCTCCTCTGCACCTTGAAAGGAAACCAAAAAATTCACATGCATTTACCCCTGCTCCTTGAAAATTTGAACCAAACCCCACAATCCTTTAAAAAAAAAAAAGGTATTTCCTTTTTCTCCCTTGTATTGTCTGCTGTTCTCATGCAAGATGCTAGCATGCCACAGCTACGCTCATTTACAGTGTCTGGAGACAGACCATTCAAGACCTTTATGTCCAGCGTATTTCACAGCTTGCAAGGTGTGGAGAAGCAGAGGGCTACTGGTTTGTGCTATCTTCCGTGTAGGTGACTGAAGAGAATATGAAACACCAAAGGAATAGTGGTGGAAAAAGCCAAGGACCAAGTCAGAACAAGTTCTGGGAAATGGAAAAAGCCATGAAAGAAAAACCTTTTGGGCTAGGGAACTGTGAGCAAAGATAGTCTCTTCCTGTGTGATTGTAGCAAGCCTAATTGTAATGAAGCAGCATCCTCTGTAAATGAATGTCATGGCTCCTAGCACTAATGTCTTGATGCAGTGAGCCTGCATGGGGCTAGAAACAGAAACTGCCTCTGGGGAGGCATGGCAGCAGTAGGAAATGGGAAAGGACATCCACCAGCCTGCAGATCAAGTCTGCAGTCCTGATCTTTGCCAGGATGCTTTGTGTACTACTGCACAGAGATAGCACAGAAAAGCTCTGCTTTTTCTTTCTGAATTTAATAGCACAGGAAGAGAGTGTGGCAGAGGAAGGATGAAATCCTAGTTTAAACACAAATCACTTTCCTAACTCATAAGTACTTCTGGAGAAATTAGGATGAAAGATGTTTATGCTGGACGTGTTACAAAATTTCACAGTCTTCCATTAACGATGCACTGGCTAACATCCAGCAGTACAAAATGTGTTAATCAGAGGAGCTCATTTTATAACAGGTTGATGATATGCTCAGTATCCTTGCCCCAGTGAAAACAAAACCAACTGACAGGAGCTTTGTTACTATTACTGACCCAGAAAAATCACTGCTGAAGCTTGTGGGCAAGACTTGCCTCCTCTTCTGCCTCTGAGTTTATAAAGCTGAGGGCTCTCCGACTGAAGAATCTGAAGTCTCCCAGCAAATGCATAGCACAGCCTGCAACTAACCTTTTGCCACCCCTTCTACTTTTGGAAACCATGTGCACATATGCATTTAGGGGGAAAAAAAAAAAAGGGCTGTGACTCACTGCTGTGTCACTCCCATTTGTATGCTGGAAGAACGCTGCTGATATAAATGGTGTTAGCGTGGTCAAAAGCAAGCATACACAAGTGGTGAATCAGTCCCTGGCTACACAGTGAAAATGCACCAAAGCCTACGGGCTAGACTGTGCCCGGATTTAAACCCTGGACTTGTCTTGTTGATCCTGCAGGAGGAGGAAATCGAAACAGAGTGATTCCACTGCCCTCCCTACCTTCTGTTTGCTCTGCTTCCTAAACCATGTGGGAAATGGGCTGATGTGAATTGTACCACAGTGCTTCACGTATTCTTTCTGGTCCGTGTTTTAAGTCATGTCAAGGAACTCAAAGTATTTGTAATAGCATTTGATTAAAATTTGAAAAATCAACCCAAACGACAAGCTAATGCAGAAACAGTACCTGTGACCCCTTCTGTTGCAGAAGACACTCAGGCAACCTATCAGAAATCCTTCTCTGACTCCATTTTACTTACAGCTCTGTACAGATATCTGCATAAGAGAACTGTCTTCATGTTACTTATAGACATATTTCCTATTATTTCTATGCTTGTGAGAAATAGCCAAGGAAGGCATATTAATGGCTTGATTTTTTGCAGCTGTTCTTCTTTTTCTCTTCAGATATAAATAGGTCTAAGCAAACAACATCAAAACGTTTTTATTGGGAATTGTGCAAAAAATGCTTTGTTTTTCCGAAGGAAATGAGGTTTATATGCTCATGTTTTATGCTCCCTGGTGACCTTTGAATTTGTTGGTCAATTTTGAGCAAGCCTGACAGGGGAACTGAGGTCTCCAAGGGTATTAAGTTTCTACAGTGTTCAGAAAATAGGCAGCCTGTTTGAGAAGACTCCTGTTTTGTTTGTGCCCTCACCAGAGGAGAGGCTCCAAGATAAGCACATTCGCTGTTCAGCACCACAGAATTCCCCCAGGGCAGCAGAATCTTCACACAAGACCATAGCGATACAGGTTCCCTTGGTACTGCTGCTGATGGAGCAGCCTTGTTTTAACTTTCCACAAAAATATCATGCAGTCGATTTTGCCTGTGATTCGTTCTTCCCTTCACTCTCCTTCCCCCATCTAAGTCTCCTTCTAGGAGCTGACGTAAACAAGACATTCCACAGAAACCTTTTCAGCTGTAGATAGTTTGAGTGCTCATGCAGTCCTGTTAGCTATTTAAGAAAACAGACTGTCTTCCTATCAATACCATTTCCAAGCACATTACTAGCTTCAGACCACTGACATCAAAGCAGTGATTTTGATGGCATCTAAGTCTTTGGTCTGAGTTCAGTGCTCCTTGGGTCAGACATACACATCAGGACTCGTTGGTCTTGTCTGAAGAGAACTGGGGTTCTCTCAGTCTCTGCCAGCCACACTCAAGTTTGTACAAGTAACTTCCTGCTTTAATGCTGTTTCAGACACTGCATCCTAAATTCTTGGTTGTTTCATCCCATCCAATGTGTTAGGTTTTATGAACAGCTCCTACAGGTCCCTCTCTTCCTTGTAGGCAGCACTGCTGAAGACATGGTCATCAGCACTTCTCCTCTGTGATGCCAATGCACTTGAGGAAATGCCTGATCGCTGCTTAGCTTTCACCACCAGCTGTGTTTGAGAAGTTTGTTTGGAGTGGCTTTTCCAGCAGTTTGGCTGAGATCATGAATCATTTAGCTAAGGTCTTAAACAATGGCGCAGCCTGCCTGAAGCAAGCGAAAAGACTTCTATTGACTCCACTGATCATTGAAAGAGGCTCATATTTCTGTAAATTGGTGCAGTTGCCTTAAGAGCTGGGAAGTACTGGTTTAGACAGCTTTTACAAATGTATGCCCATTGTCACCTGTGTTATAGCTGTGGCGATGAAGTATCCCACACACAGTTCCATTCTCCATCTTCAAAAACAAATCGCCTGTAGAAAGACATGGCAAAGAAAAGAAAAAATTACCTGAACAAAAGCCTTTGTCCTGGCTCCTTCCGGATAATATTTAGTTTGTAGTAGTGGCGTAGGGCTCTGGACATTTTCTCGTAAGTCATATTTGTTCTGTTCTGGTTTTTTCAAGAGAAAAAGGAAAAATGTGGTGAGATGATTCACTGAAATCTTCCTAAGCCCCAAAAGGAGCTGCAGAACTATCACAGCTAGCTAAAGGAACCAAGTCAGTTCAAGAAATTACATGTTCCACTCCTTTGCAGGCCCATCCTGCCCCTCCAGCCCTCATCACCAGATTTTTATGGGTCTCTTTTCATTGAGGGCAATTTAAGCAAGGAAGTCTAACAAAAATTCCAAGTGATTTTTTTCTAGTTTCTTGGATCACAGATAACAAAAGGCTTCATCAACCACAAGAGGAGCCATTAGATGGAGGGAGATGCTGATGCCAAGTGGGACGTGACAGGCTTGTTCTTAATGAAAACCACCTTTTGTAAAAGCATAAGAACAGTGGCTAATAGACTGAATCTGTCAGCAATCCCTGCCAAGAGCTCTGTTCCTCTGGGATTCCCCTCCATTAACTAGTTAATGCTTACAGAGCACTGTGGAGATTGAGAGACTACTTCTCATGTTATACGGGTGTAAATTAAGAAGCCCATTAGGTTGTACATCTGCTTCTATACAGAGGCTCCCCTTCATTTTGGGAGCTGCTGACCTGAACATCACAGTCAGAGCACTGAGCGTCACAAGGCACTGGCAGCGTGGGCAGTCCCCATAGAACTGACTTGGGATAGCATGATCAGTTCCTTAGGCTATGTCTACAAGAAGAGCATTTTTCTGGGACAACTAGCACTGGTTACTATGCTGGCAAAAAAACCTCCATCAGAGAGACAACTATACCAGCAAAACCACGATTGCATGAGTGTTAAGCAGCCACTTTGCCATGGGCAAAACACGCCAAACTAGTAGAAGCATGCTTTTGCTCTGTGAGCCTCCATGTTAGGAGTTTGGCTTGGCACAGTCCAAGATCAGGCAGAAGACAGTCCAAGATCAGGCAGAAGACTGTAGTGTTGAACTGGATTTATTAAATGAGACTGATCTGCCATGCCTAAAATGTCACCTAAGAGCAGACCTCCTCTGCTTGCCTTGGCCACATCAACTCTGCTAAGGGAGGCCACATAAAAACCTCCTGTGGCAATTACTTACTAAAAATGACAGTGTTTGTCCTGCACAATCTAGGTTCTGCTCATTGGGAAGCCCCCTGAAATACCATGTGTGCTTTTTCCATTTCTTATATACTAAAAGGCCACTGTGTTTCCCAAGTGGCTCATGCAGCTTCAGTTTTAGACATACAACATGAGACATAGAATCATAGAATCATAGAATAGTTAGGGTTGGAAAGGACCTTAAGATCATCAAGTTTGAACCCTCCTGCCATGGGCAGGGACACCTCGCTCTAAACCATATTACCCAAGGCCTTGTCCAACCTAGCCTTGAACACTGTCAGGGATGGAGCATTCACAACCTCCCTGGGCAGCCCATTCCAGTGCCTCACCACCCTCACAGTAAAGAACTTCCTCCTTATATCCAATCTAAACTTCCCCTGTTTAAGTTTGAACCCATTACCCCTTGTCCTATCACTACAGTCCCTAATGAAGCGTCCATCCCCAGCATCCCTATAGGACATGTTGGCAAGGCCCGATTATTAGCATTGAGGTTGGGTAAAATCTGAACTCTCCGTTCCCAGTATTGCAGCTCAAGACCTCTAAAACAGATGTTCTTGTAAGCACTGAGTCACAGGAAAAAATCTTGACCATATCAAGATTTCAGGTTATGTATACTCATATATACGTATGTAATCCATACATACTCAGTCCCAAACTGCAAAAATCAGTAACTGTTTTCCAGAGAACAGAGCAGAATTACACTCTTAAAAGAAAATACGTAATACTGCAGCATTTAGTGTCTGTCACAGGACAGTGTGTGAAATCTGGATGTTGGTGTAGACAGGAACACAGAGAGAAAGCTCCTACTGAGACATAACATACAGATTACATCTAATCAGAACACCCTTAGCGTCAGATTTTGGGAAGAAATGAGATGCCTCAAGAGAGAAGAACCGTTAATTCTTGCACTCCTTGTAATTTTATAATTAAATGCATTTATAGGTAAATGCCTTTAAACCAAACCACCAGGTTCTGTATATGAAAGGTAGGTTTTAGTGCTCGAGGCTGGATGCTTTACATTTCTAATGTGCATAGAATGAAAGATTATAACTTTACAGCAGTAGTTTATATGCACACCCTTTCTTCCTATTCCCCTTGCTTATAAGTGAATCCTACGATGTTACAAGAAGCGAAGTGCTGCAGGAGGAAACTGCATTGCTTCCTTACCTTGTGGTTTCCCCACAGCCGGGCCAGCCCGTTGGGATCCACTATCCGAAATATTTTGGATTCCTTATCTTCCCATCGGATGAAATTTTCGTACCGGCTGTCAGAAAGCAGCTGATAAACATAATCCCAAAGCAACCTACAGTCTGTGAAGAGAGGAACAAGAAAATAGTGAATTTTTTTTCCTTGGGACTAATTCTGGAAACTTTTGGGTGGATGTTCAGTGAAAGGACAGTTGGGATCAGGGCTGAAACAGCTGCTGCAGTCTGAAATGGCTTGGTTGGTATAGACTAATGTTTGCAAAAGGCAGTGGAATATACAGCCTCTTCTCATGCATCCCAATCCTTCTGGCACTAACTGAGCATCTTTATCACATTAAAAGCTGCATAAGATGACCTGCTGATGTTAGTTCTGTGTTCATTGTTGTACTGATGCACATAAAACTACCACTATTGGCCCTGATGATGTTGCTGGCTCTTTCACTGAGGAAATCAAGAATCCTGCAACCTGCTCTTCCTTGCTTGAGGCTGTCCCTTTCTGTCCTAATACGTCTAAAACATGGGCAGTGTTACAGCTTTCCTTTGTATACTCCATGCGATATAAAATCTACCATTTTTTAATTTGCTTTTTGTTCCATTTTTTAAGGTTTCTGAAAAAAAATCCCAAGTATTGTAATTACTTGAGTGCTATTGAGAGGTTATATACTTTGTATTTGGATAATTGAATTCAAATTTCCTCTTGGCAAACACTCCTTAGGTCACTAATTAAAGGTCTAACAGATACTTAGGCTTTAGTTTAGTTTTTCACTTTCATGGCAGTCTCTTGAGATCGAAGAAGCCAAGAGCTGAGCTGCTCCTACTTCCTGCTTGCAGTGTATGTGTGCAAAGCACAGCATAATAACTGGCAACTATGAAATATGTGAAGTGAATTGCACAGAGCTGAGGGTTCTGCTGCTGTCAGAAACAACAGGGGTTTTATAGCTCAACTGTCCAGATCCCTAAGATGGACTTACAGTTGCATTTTACTTTGAAAGCAAAACCAGTCTCTGAGAGATGACTTGTTAAGAGTAGTTAAAAGGCAGGCAACCAAAGACATCTAGCTTCTAGGTGCTAAAGCTGGATTCTTGTCAGCCCGTCTTTCCTTCTCAAGTCTGTCTGTCTGGGATAGGAATGTGTTACAATGGGGATAATGACATGTTCCATATGAGAATATAAAATGCTTTTTGGAAAGGGATATGAGTAACACATTTAATGAGCATACCTGAAATGCTTAGAGATATTAACATTATGGATTTTTTTTTCCATTTTCAAACTGTACAGAGTATCTCTGAAACCTGTACTGTCTCTAAAACTCAGCTTACTTTGCCAGTGCCCTTACTTACTATAGACTCTCCCTACCAGTCCTACAGAGAACAATGCAGTGAAGCCTTCCTTTCCCTCTTCCCCCACCCGAAGTCACGTATGTGGGCCAGTCACCTACCCCATGGCTGCAGATACCAAGTAGGTAGCTGGCTGCAATGCCGAACACTGCTGCAGCTAACCCCTTGTGCAGTGTGGTACAAGTGACTTTCCCTGGACCATGCAGGAGACCTGTAGAAGAGCATGAAAGTCTCCATTTCTGTCCTCTTTCCCCTCACAAATTCACAAAACCCAGTTCTTCCATCACCTTTCCATCAATAATCTTTCACAAACACATACACTTAGTCTCTTAGACATGCATGTACTAGAAAAAAACCCTTTCTTTTCTAAACTTAATTTATACGGAACAAGTGAAGGGAGATTATATTGCTCTACTGCTTTGTGCCTTTTAATAATGTGGGGAAGTGCTCAGATAATAGGGTAGTAAGGGGCCATGTAAGTGGTTCCTTGACACATGTACAATTCATTCCACAACTCACAATGAAAGGCTGTACATACAATGATTTTTTAATCATAGAATCATAGAATAGTTAGGGTTGGAAAGGACCTTAAGATCATCAATCTCCAACCCCCCTGCCATGGGCAGGGACACCTCGCTCTAAACCATATTACCCAAGGCCTCATCCAACCTGGCCTTGAACACTGTCAGGGATGGAGCATTCACAACCTCCTTGGGCAACCTATTCCAGTGCCTCACCACCGTAACAGGAAAGAATTTCCTCCTTATATCCAGTCTAAACTTCCCCTGTTTAAGTTTGAACCCATTACCGCTTGTCCTATCACTACAGTCCCTAATGAAGAGTCTATCCCCAGCATCCCTATAGCCCCCCTTCAGATACTGGAAGGCTGCTATGAGGTCTCCATGTAGCCTTCTCTTCTCCAGGCTGAACAGCTCCAACTTTCTCAGCCGATCTTCATATGGGAGGTGCTCCAGTCCCCTGATCATTCTCGTGGCGCTCCTCTGGACTTGTTCCAACAGTTCCATGTCCTTTTTATGTTGAGGACACCAGAACTGTACACAATACTCCAGGTGAGGTCTCACGAGAGCAGAATAAAGGGGCAGGAAAATGCAACAACCTTAATTCAAACCAAAACCAAAAAAAACCCAAACAACGAAAGAATTGTGTTTTGGGTGCTATCTATCTATCTATCTATCTATCTATCTATCTATCTGTCTATCCTTTTCCTTTTTCTTCAGTTTCATTCTCTGACTCCCAAGGGCATATTTTACCAGTTGATCAGAGTTAGTAATACTGCTGCATTCCAAAAACTACCTTTTTTTCCATCATCCCATGTAATCTGTGCTAACTAACAACAAAACCTCTACAGACTAGGTCAATGGTTCATGCCGTTCTCGACCAGCTTTTCCCAAAGATCTCCACGCTTTCTTTCTATGCAGTCCTTCATTAAAATCAACCATAAAGGTGATGCAATTCCCTAGGTCAGCAGTGAAACATCACCATGGCAATCACTGGGCAGTACTGGCCTAAACATTGGTGGTGGGTCTAAAGCTGGCCCCACCTCATCTGCAAGAGAGGTCTGTCTTGATGGGAGCAGGTTCAAATCAAAAACAGTCACCTAGCTGATATTTGTGAAGGAAAAATGAGAGGTCTTTTTGGCCAAGGTAGGAATTTATTAGAAATTTGAGGGAAGAGAGTAAGGATGTGTGGGTCTGTTGTTGAACCAGCTCATTTGGATTGTGATGAAAATTTGCTGAGGTGGTTGGTTGGTGTATGGCCCTATTGGGAGAGTGCTGCAGGAATCTGGCATCCAAGTATCAGTCATTTGGTTTTACTTCTGCCACTGCTGTTAGTCCTGGCAGGAGTGGCCCTCCCTGGGTTCAGCTGGGGGGATGAAGCTCCTGCAGAGGCAAGTCAATGTCAAGCTCTGGCACAGTCCTGAATGTGAAGCCCAGGGCAGACACTCTCCAATTATAGGGACTTATAGCTAATATTTACACAGAGATATGATTTACCCTAAACTTTACTTTCACCCCATTATTTGCTATGCTATGTTGTTTTTAATCAGTAGCCTACTACCATAACTATGCTCTAGAAAATTTCCAGTGCTATAAATACAACTCTTACTGATGGGGATGGCAGACCCCTAATATCCTCTCTACCACAGCCCCTGGAAAAGTTTCAAGGAGCTGATGGCTTCTTGACAGCTGACTGGAATTGCATGTACAATGTGCACTGCACTGTGCTAGGGTTGCATGTTCACCTCAGTGTGGACAGCAAGTAAATTCTAGTTGAACCTAATGGCTTTGGTTATGTTCCATTACCTATCATTACTTTATACACACACATACACTCACACACACTGTGCCCTTCTCCTTCACAAAAACAAGAAAGCACAAAAAATTCACCCCAAAATACCTGGGTGGCAAATTACTGGACTAACAACAGAGCTTCAGACTCTAAGAAGAGGTAGGATTCAAGTGCAGATTTGTTTTCTGTTGTTCACTTAACTTTTAGAATGGATTCAGGCTAAGCTTGAATATAAATATTCCTCAAAGGAGAAGAACTCCGATCTGCATCTTGAGATCTTCACAAGAAAAGTCCTAAGTGATCAAGGGCCCCATCCCATACTCTAAACTGACTGAGCTGCTCAGACTTGCAGAGGTATTTAGTAGGCTGGTGGTATTTGCAAAAATACCCAACCACCTTTGTTTGCTTCAACAAGAAAACTGAAAATTCTGGAAAATTCTGCTTGGCTCTACAAGCACTTACAAACCTGTCTTCAAAAGCTACAGCTGTCTAGCAGCAAATTTAGGTATACGACTGAGTTGCAATAATTTAAAGAGCTGGCATGCTTCAATGCAATAGTGGTAACATGTCTCAAGCCACTGCAAATAGGAAATAAAAAGCATCAACTTTAAACACCAGTGGAAAAGATTTAGGCTCACTGACTTTCTTCTCACCTCTGCTGTGAGCTATGGGCGTGCACAATGTCAGTCACCATGGACCAGCTGATGCTTGGCAGCACAATTTAGTTAAATATGTGAGCTCTGTTTGCAGAGTACCTAAATCAGTTGGACTTCTTTCAAGTTTTGCATGGGAGACTTTCAGGAATTTGAGTATAGGCATCAGGTGTTGGGTTTTGGTTTCTTTTGTTAACAACAAATGATTTACACCCTGGGTATATTTCTCCAGAGACTGCATGGTATACACCCATGAGGTTCTGGAGGGGCCTTGATGGCTGAAAGAGTGGCAGCAACCAAATAATCCATCGTTATTACGCTAGTAGAGACCATCTTTAATAGGACAATAGAGACTACAGGTCAAAGACTGCTGGTAACTCTTTGCAACTGTAATGAATGTGGAGTAGAGCCCATTTGGAGCAGACGGCAAGATAGTGAAGTTGGTGAAAACCCAAGAAGAGGAAATGTTAGAAAATGCTATTAAAAGGAGCTTCTCCACTGGGGAAAGAGGCAATTCTACAGAAGGTTGGTGAAGACAATACAGAAAGTTGCATCCTTCAGGAAGGTCAAAAGTGTTGCATACATTTTCAGGAATGATGGAGAAATGGAGCAAGGACTTGCATGTGGATGGTTGTTTTCTAGGTGCAAATCACTTTTCTGAGGAAAGTCTGGGTGGTGTGAATGACTCAATCACTTCCTTGGCTGTCAGGCGGCCTCCCAAGGAACACTCACATGGGGAAACACTCCACAGGGAGTGTGTTTGCTAGTGAGCAATGGCAAGGAAGAACATGGATATTGCTAAGGC